TCATGGGTGGACTTCAGTCATCTTTCACACGAAGTGTTACTTCATGGGTTGACTTCAGTCATCTTTCACACGAAGTGTTACTTCATGGGTGGACTTCAGTCATCTTTCACGTGAGGTGTTACTTCATGGGTTGACTTCAGTCATCTTTCACACGAAGTGTTACTTCATGGGTGGACTTCAGTCATCTTTCACACGAAGTGTTACTTCATGGTTGGACTTCAGTCATCTTTCACGTGAGGTGTTAACTTCATGGTTGAACTTCAGTCATCTTTCACACGAAGTGTTACTTCAAGGGTGTATGTCAATCATCTTTCATATGAAGTGTTACTTCATGGTTGGACTTCAGTCATCTTTCACACGAAGTGTTACTTCATGGTTGGATGTCAGTCATCTTTCACACGAAGTGTTACTTCATGGTTGGACTTCAGTCATCTTTCACACGAAGTGTTACTTCATGGGTGGACTTCAGTCATCTTTCACACGAAGTGTTACTTCATGGGTGGATGTCAGTCATCTTTCACATGAAATTATTTCGTAGATGCACTTCAAACTATAAGGTTTAAACTACTTATGACATGAAGACTCAGGCAACCGATGTACCAATAACATTTTCTTAAACATAGTAATGTGGCAGTAAGAAGTAATTATAAGGTTCTTGCCAAACGCCAAGATTTTTCTATATAAACTTAACTTTTTTTTCCAGAGAAATATTGTGATTTTATTTTTAAAAAAATAATAATAATTTTATTAGTCTGAATAAAAAAAACCCTTATGACTGCACTCTCCTCGGATGTTTTTAGACTATATTTTTTATGGTTTACTAGGTTGAAGCTGGGAACATCTATTTTTTATGTCGTAAGATTTGTTTTAAAGATCTAATACGGCTTTGATATATTGTGTAGTGTTAAACTTTCGTCCTTCATATTACAAAAATCTGTAATAACTTGTTTTCGTTATTTCAAATATAGTGATTGATAAAAGGAGATAAGCTGGTGATATTATTAAATGTTTTGGCGAATGTTCAGAATAGAAACTTGCTTGACAACCATCGTAAGTGAAGGCAATATTTACAAATGTAAATCATGATAATGCAACCGGTCCACATTTCCTTCAGGCAAAGAATGCATTTACCTCGGAAATCAATACGCTCTACGTAGTCTGATAGATTTAAACGATAAAATATCGACACACATTTTTTTTTAATTGATAATCACGTGATATATTTATCCGGGAACCCTAATAATCTATTCATTTTACCTGTATCTCGTACGTATATCACGAAAAACAAAACAGTGAAAAATATAAAGCAAATTCAAAGTGATACTTTACATTGTTTCAGGAGCAATTACTTACACTGTAGTAATTATATTATGTTCACATTGTAGTAAAAGTATTAATTTACACTATTATTATTATGTTCATATTGTAGTAATTGTAGTACTTTACGTTGTAATTATTATATTACGCTAGACAGTATTTACAATAACACTAGTAAATGTAGTACGTTACATAGAAATTACTATGTTACGTTCACATTGTAGTAACTGTGGTATATTACACCGTAGTAGCTGTGGTACATTACACTGCAGTAACTGTAGTACTTAACACTGTAGTGAGTGTAGTACTTAACACTGTAGTGAGTGTAGTACTTAACACTGTAGTGACTGTAATACATTACACTACAGTAACTGTAGTACTTAACACTGTAGTAACTGTGGTACATTACACTGCAGTAACTGTAGTACTTAACACTGTAGTGACTGTAATATTTAACACTGTAGTGACTTTAATACATTACATTGCAGTAACTGTAGTACTTAACACTGTAGTGACTGTAATACATTACACTGCAGTAACTGTAGTACTTAACACTGTAGTGACTGTAATATTTAACACTGTAGTGACTTTAATACATTACATTGCAGTAACTGTAGTACTTAACACTGTAG